TTCTGTACAAAAGTCTTCCTCCACCGATGACCGCTTAGGTTTGTTTAAAAAATACGTGCTCCATGTCGATTTCGACAGAATGCACCCTCGCCAAGTATATGCGTCCTTAAGCATTTAGTCGCATGACCACGAGCACAACAACTTGAAATCCATGGGATAATGATTTCTAACTTTGTTCCGACTTGTGCGCCTTGATACCAAGCTCTCATCGTTCTGAATATCACATCATCTCGATACTGGATGGCGCCACCAAACGCTCCAACTTCTCCATCACTTGACACAACTCGATTCGACAACCATCGCTTCATTCAATTGTCGACACGGTTATAGTGGTAAATCATATTGTGTCAAGACAATGCATTTCGACAATGATTGACTGATCTGACACAGATACGCAACCAAAATCAACAACACACTGCAAAGAAGTCGCGCGCTTTCGTGCACAGCAGTCAGGCAGTCCAAAGTGCTTGGAAGTTACACGAAGCCCTCAATGTCATCACAGTGCATTGAGCTAGACTATCAACAAATGTGCCTCGATTGCTTGTGCGGAGGGTCCCACTCATACACTCCATGCAATTGCAGAGGGCTGTGAGGCATGAACGCGATACCGCGATGATATAACCGAAGAGAGGATGTGCGACTTTGTACACTCGAGGGTGAGCCCAAGGAGATGCGCTTGATCAGCGTTGCAATGCAGCTGACACGCACTAGCGGTTGCAAGAAGGAATGCCCCAAAAGCCACACTGAGGATATCCACAACGAACCTCTTTCCGTTGCCATTCCCACATACAATTCGTGGGTCATTTGACAGGGAATTGACAACTTGCCATTTCTCAAGTAACAATGCAGTTACGCGAGCGTTGCAATAAGTTGCACCCACTTCACGACCCTCGAACATCACCGAGTGAGAACATGACGTGCAACACACGTGGTATCTCTCTCCACCATTCGGTCAGTCGCATTGGTGCTTCATGGGTAGAGATACGTTATCAGCAAACGTCGCGCATAGCCTCTGAGGGTTGGTATGAAATAAGAGTGCCACACTTAAATAGGCTGATGACGTACCAGTGCAATCGTTTGTGTTCTTCTGCACGTCATGGCTTCGATGTGTCGTATAATTGACAAACGGATCCAGTCCACTGCTTGAAGGGAAGGCCAACTTCACTGCAAGACATCATTCCCCATCGCCACATTCCCTCTCTCCACCTCCTCTCATTAAAGGTCATGCAACCAAGAGAAGTACGTTGCGCGATTGTTCGGGTCACTTCAAATGTCCTGCTGCTCTTGCACTCTCCTTCCGTCACAGATATTTTGCACTCATCAACACCGTTCAGCAGGACGAGGCAGTTGACAGGTGGTAAATACACCGATTGCCGTTGTGCCCTTTCAACTTAAGCTACAATCCAGAGTTTCTTAGGCAGTAAACGTTAACGACGTGTCAGCGAATTTGAGCCTAAGGTAGAAATAAGGAGTATAGCGCATTAATGCATTAAGATCCATCCCATCATTAAGTAAGGATATTGGTCCAGTGTAGGAATAAAAAGATTCGCGAGATCCACATGCTATGTCATCCCATTCATAGATGGATAAGTTTAACGTAATTTAGTTTAGGAATCGAAAATCTTGACTACCGCTTTGTCAAAGCCTTCCTTTTTACTTAAAGAAAACAGTTTGCAAATTGCACTTAAATTGTTGCCGGCTTTGCTTTTTTGCGCCAACACAGTCTTAGAAAGGACAAAATTCCTGTCTTTAAATTGGAAGAGAAAGGATATCCTAGTGCTCCCAAAAACCTTCCCAATATCGAATTTATCTTTACGAAGAACTCCAAAGTTTTAGTTACAATAAATGCTATCAAGTGGATATTGTAATATTTTCACGCTTAGTAACTTCATCAGACTGTCATCATCTCCCTTTCTCGATTCGCTTTAAGCCACTTTCAATGTGTAGAAGACCTGGTGCTTGATTTTATTTTTGAGGCGGCTTTAAGGTTTGTACTAGAGCACCAGACATTCCATATTAGGCGCTTGCAAAGGAGGAGGAGGAGAAGAGAGAATATCCGAATCTGATGCTATCGCATGTTGTGGTTTGGTGTTTATGATAAACAAGAATGTTTATCTTTTAAGTCGCCTGCGCCATACATGCATGTACTTCATCAGGCATTCCAACACCTTTGTTCGTACCAATAGGTGGTTTCGCTACTGTATTACGACTGTGTTAAGGGAACTACGAATGTCTTGTTCCTTTGTGCACTTGTTTTAATGGTTAGCCGTACACATCTTCTGTGTGGTGTAGCCTCATATGTGTAAAGTCGACATTTACTATTTCCGAATGATTTAAAAACTGTCTATGCACATAAAAAGCTTTGGCAGTTTTTAAAAGCTGGGAATTTCTTTATTTTATCTATTTTTTCAGGAAGGTTGGTTCATGGAGA